AATAATGAATTTGAAATTTGAATTGAGAAATATGCCTTAAATAAAATATAGCCCCCTTCTCATTAATACATAATGATTTACAATGATGCTTTATAAGCTTAGTTATCTATAACAGGACACAAATAGTTTTACTGAAAATCACAAGATTAGACTAGTTTTAAATGATTCATTTTTATCTAAAATTTTATATTTTTATTTAAAAGTTTTTGCAAAAAGTTTCGAGTGATACTAACAATTGTTGCAAGGTACTTCTGTATTTTGGCATACTGCATTGAACTAAATGTTGTATAGATACATTCTTGTATCGAGTAATATTTTGAAAGATTGTTCTTTCATTGCACAGTTTCGCTGCTTCTCTATCCATTATGGAACTTACCGAAACTTTTTATGCCCGAGCAGGTGTGTTCTGTAAGCGGTTTTTCTATACACGGTGGACGACCCACACAACCTAGCTCAAAATATTAATCAAACACTTGAAGAATATTCCTACATACAGTTCCTATAATATTTCGTTTGTTCATAATTTTCGAGATGAGAAAAATAATTAAAAAAACCATATGGTGCATTTTGAAAAAAAAAGAAAATGTCACACGACGGACTCGAACCAACGATTTCGTGACTGTCAGACCCGAACGCTACCAATTAGGCCACACTCCCAGTTGAAGAATGTGTCGCATCTAGTGGATTTAGCTGTCAGGTAAAACTTCAAAATCAATTATCTTGGTAATTTATGAACATTGGGTCGACCTACGTCGAAAAATTCTTATTCAAGGTCCAAACTACACGTACCATAAATATAAAAAATTACAAAAAACCGATTACCTTACCTTCTCCTGGTAAGATGTTTATCTAAAACGGGATCAATTTTTTTACTATAGTCTATCAGTTCTAAAAATACCCCTTTGTTTACCGAGTCGCCTTTTTCATTATGTCCACGAAGAGGAAGGTTACATGTACCACATAGTTTTAAGATATCTATAATTTTTTAAAGAAGCAATTGATTTTTCATAACTGTTTCGTTATGACTATTTATTTGTTCTGCATAAGCACTACTTAAACAAGAAGCAATATTTACTCTTCCTAAAATTAGAAAACTCACCAAGTTATTTTTGTGTTTCGGAGTTTTCATGTTTTTCAATTTTGTCCGGTAAATGTTTGAAGTCAGAAAAAAACAATAAACATGCAAAACAAAAAAATCTATTTGTTTCGTCACAACCACAAAGTCTTGTCATAAATGTTTTTATCGAATTTGCAAATAAAAGCCGGTCTACTTTTGCACTCTTTTTCCACCTGAACTAAATTCACCACTGGCGTTGGACGTCCGTTATTTTTCAAATTGACTTTTTCCTGTAAACTTAAATTACTAATAACAAGTTTTTTTTTTCACAAACCCTCATTTTAAACTTAAACTTATAAAATATAATTTTCGCGCCAAAGCAAAAACAAAACACGTATAACCACACTTCAGTGAAACGGGTTACTGCCACATGGAGTCCAAAACAAAGCATGCAAGCCTATTGTTATCTATCTCCTCCCCATGCCAATTTGTTACATCATATGTAGAAATATGCTTGCACGATAGGCTCAGATTTCAGTGACCACAATGGAGTGGGGATTGCACAGTCAAAGATAACTCTTACTAAGATAACTCTAGTCCCAGAGTGCTCCTTTACGAGCTGCCACTGCTGTGGATCCTCTGGTTGGAAGTTTTATACAAAGTTGAATGAAAGACAATTAGAGGCATACAAGTATAATAATAATATTTATTGGTGTTTAAATACGTAATACAAGTAAGTTAAAAGTTTGATTGCTTAGTATAATTGGTTTCTTATCTCAATGCGATATTATAATTTCGATAAAGCAATTCGTTAAGTATTCCAATATACTATTACTTTCATACATAGGTATAACAATAATATAAGGACCGTTAGTTGAAAATTGAGAGGTACATAATTTTATATAGGATTTTTTTGTTTAAATAGCCACTATGTAGCCCAAAAAAATCATTGATATAGCAATTTTATTATTTTTTTGGAAGCTGTGCTGCTCTTAATATTTCTCAGGTAATTAAAAGTGTCTACAGCAATTATATTTTTTTTAAACATTCATAAATACACCGTACTTCAAACAAAAAATTCCTGTATATTTCTTTGTGAAGTAAAAAGGTAAAGGTCATGAAGCTTACCAGCAATTAGGTCATGCTTGGCCCTGTTTTCCTGCTAACTTACTACTATCCACCTTAACAATCACAAACATCCACGGTTAGCCTCAGTGAATTAAATAAAACTAAAGTAATTTTAGATTTATTTAACTGTGTATGTATTAACAAAATTAATAAAGCAAAAATAACTCATTTTTCAAATAAACTAGAAGACAGAGATATTGTTAATAAAGGAGTATCGGGTACTACGGAAAAATGCAGCCAATTTCATATTATTGAGATATTTTATTTTTGCAATGTGAAATCAAATTCTATGAATTATTCTCGAATTATTTATCGATTTGTTTTTGTTTGAATTTGAATATTTAACATAGGTTCTTATGGGAAATGCTATGATGCATACCCTTGCAATCGAATTACGGGTGAAAAAATGCAAATAGTAAGACGAAAAAAATATAGACATTTACCCTGAATTAATAGATGAGAGAAAGAAAAAAGTATGTTACGGCACATTTCACAGAGAAATAAATTATCAAACATTAAAAGTTCTGACTTGTCATCTGCCAAGTAATAAACGCGAAGGAGTAGTGGCACCAGAGCAATAGAATATGAATGAGGATAGGTGGCGGGAAATTTAAATAAATGTTTGGATATACAACTTAATCATTAGAAATGGAAATGGATTACAATCAACTTGTGTTTATTTGTGTAATTCAATTTGGAATAATAAAATAAAATGAAGAATTTCCAGATAAATCATTTTTCATTTTAAAATTAACTTCAATAATTTCAGTATATTTTTTAGAATATTTTTGGCTACTCTAACATCGTATCAGTATATCAAATTGTATTATACTTTCATAAATGCAATTGCTTTTAACCCCTGTCTTATAAGGAACATTTGTAATCACAGAAGTGCACCATAGTACTATGCTACTTATGCATGTAACTAAATCATTTAAACTTTTCCACATGAATCACTTCGTGATCACAGTTTGTAAATAATTTAAAATACGTAAAAGTTCTTTGCAAAAAACATGCATGCTTTGTGCCATGTACTCCTTTGTTGATTAGTTGATGCCCTTGAACAGTATGTGGAGGCTCTAGCTCCACAATCTTCTCTTCAACAGCTTTTTTCCTGCATTTGCTATTTTCTGTTCTAATTCTCGAGCACTCATACTTTGCTTTGGTCACAAATTTTCTTTTCTACTGACTATTCTTCATTCAACATTTTATAGGTTAAAGCAATCAGCTGTGCGAGCGATTACATAGCATGATATACATGACAAGGTCTGCCAACTGATAAATAGTAAACTCAGCATAGTCGTGCGCTGTTGCCAAGTTTCTGTTGCAACTCGTGGCATTTATTTATTCATATTGGGTAAAAAATAATAATTGAAAGATAGAAACGTATAAATAATAAGTATTTTAGATTGATTTTATTCAATATCTATAAGCAAGTATCTCAATCTACTTACTTTCTAGTCACAAAGAATATTTTTCTTTGCATTGGCAGCAATGATTATTTTTTAATACGATGAGGGCAAGTATAGGGACCCCCGCGTCCCGCTTCATCCCCTGATGAAGCACCCAATCCTCCTTAAATGCACTTATCGAATTACCGAAATATTTAGTGGTGTCAGAATAGGATCGTTACCTTCGGTTAAATTTTACATAAATACAAAGTATTTATAAAATAATAGTAACAAAATTAATTTTGTTTTTCATGTTTCATTGGAATTTCTTCATTACAGTTACTATGGAAACCTAATGCTTATACAGGTATAAATATTTAGTATATATACATCATTATATACACTAGTACTTCCAAATGCAAAGTTGTAGGAAATAAGAAAAATAACTCTTTCCAGTGTTGGCAGGTTTCTGCAGTAGCTACTAAAACTATATTTTTTTAAATAGCAACACTATTTTTTTAACATAATTTGACAAGAACAATCAGCAAAAACAACAAATTTAATCTGTAGTCAGCAGTAGTAAGTAGTAAGATGAATCAGTTATTTAATCCACAAGAGAAACTTGAATTAATTTTTCTTCATGTTAGTGACTTAAGTTTATGCAATGCGTATGCTGAATTCCACGCAAGACATCCCGATAAGCCTCTTCCAAATACACATAACTTAATAAAAGTAAAAACAACTGGTAGTGTGTGCCCAAGGATCCGCAAAAGGCTCAAAATCATCTTAGCAACTGAATTAAAACGTTATTTTTATGACATTCAAATAACCAGCTGTCAAATAACACAATGGCAGCATAATAATGATGGCTCCTTTCAAATAACACAATTTTTGTTTAATTTCCAAGACCTACTATTGCTATGTGAGCTAAAGTTCCTGCTGACTACAGATTATTTTCGTTGTTTTTGCTGATTGTTCTAAAATGGCTACTCCAATAAAGAAATGTGACATAACATTTTCTACTTAGAATTTGAAGGTTTGTCAAATTATGTTAAAAAAATACGGTGTTGCCATTTAAAAAAATATCGTTTTAGTAGCTATTGCAGAAATCTGGCAACATCAGAAAGAATTATTTATAAATTTTTCTTAGTCAAGTTATTTCCTACAACTTTGCATTTCAAATAAAAAAGGCCTGTCAGGTTTTAAAAAAATAGCACTGTATTGTGAACCTCTTTTTTTGCATCAAATAATCAAAAACCAAAAAATGATGAATTGCATCTTATAATCAAATATTTTGAAAAAAAAAATATGGGAAACAACTCTATTCTGAGATTATTAATGACCATGTCCACCACAAATGCTCTGTGTATTCTATGTCGTCGATATTGTATTGCAATTACTAATATATGTATTGTATTTTGTAGGTTGCAAAAAGAAATGCTGCAGAGGCTCTTTTAGCAGAGTTAGGTTACAACAATAATACAATCACAAATAACCCTAAATCAACCATGAAGCTTGAAAAGGAATCAGAATCTATACCTATTGCTACTATTTCAGATAAAAGTCGAAAAGTGACTTTTGTGGAGGAAGCCTCAGAATCACAACCAAGTCCATCTGTTGGTGGCAGCGGAGGCCGTCAGTTAGTTCCGGGTGTACTCTTGGTCACTGAACAAAATGCTGGATTTCAGAAACAGATAAAAGACATCGATAAGCCCGGTCCAGCTCAGCCGCCACAACTAAAAGCCCCTCAGTCTATACAGGGTGTCCGTTCAAAAGACCAGCTTCTTTACTTAGCTCAGTTAATGAACATACACGTTCAGTTTTCTGATTTTCCAAAAGCAAACCACGAGATGTATTTAACTTTGGTGTCGCTAAGCACAAATCCACCTCAAGTTTGTCACGGTGAAGGACCTACAACAGAAGCTTCGCATGAGAAAGCTGCATTAGAAGCACTCAAAGTACTATCTGAATTAGGTCTTGATATTGCTCCTAATAAGGATAGTTCTACAGCTGCATCTGTCTCGGATAGGTAAGTTAAATTTAAATGTTAATCATGTGAGAAGGTCAGCATCAATTACTGAAAATCATATACACAAAAGAAATTGACTGTTACAGCTGTCATACCGAGTATTTTTAAATTTTATTTCAATGTGTGTAATATACCGATGCACACTTTCACAATGTGGTAGAAATTGTTCTGTGTTAGGGGGGCGTTTTTATACGCAATTTTGAATGAATTTTTTGTTCCAAGTCTTTAAAAGATCTAAGCAAGTTAGTAACAATATCTCCACTGTACCTATTACACAAGTTTTCTTCAGGGTGTAAGACAACTGACAGTACATTCTAAATAAGGAAAAAAAAGCATATTTTTACCTCGTGTGTTTATCCTACGTTTCCTCAACTTTACACGCCTGTTGAACATACAGAAAATTGCATACAGTAGTATAAACATAGTTACACCCAGCAGAATGCTTTTAGAAAACTATTTACACATGAATTAATCACAATTATTGAGTAGTTTTATTGAATTCGACAAAACAGTAAGGGTAAATTTTTTAATGTTTACTATTTTCCATAACGTTTTCATGCAGAAAATTAAAGGAATCCTTTGTATTTCAACATTTCTATAGTTTGGATACTGTCGAAAAGATGGCGATAGACCCACCCCCTGCCCCCCCTCCCTCCCTCAAACCTATAAATTTTGTAATAATTCTAAGAAATGTAACTACAACAAATTTAACATTCTTATAAAGTGAATATGTCTGCTAACTGTTCATTTGTACAAATATATTCAATTCTTAAAGGATTATTATTTATTAAATCTAAAACAAAATGTAATTTCACATCAATATGTTTACAATGTTTATTGTTTTCAAAATTTTTGAGCAATTTTTTTACTTTTAATGCAAATTTCACAAATAGTCATTATCAGAATTTGCAAATTGCAAACCATTTACTAAATTCAAATTTCTGATTTTTAACAGTTATAATTTAAATTTCCATATTTTTGATCCAAAGATTTTTATCATCTTTTATTGCTTTTGCATATTCTTCACAAAAATGCTCAAAAGTTTTTTTGTATAAATTATTACAACGGTTTCCCTCGATATAAATTAAATTATTTTTCTAATAATAACTTTACCATTAAAGCACACAATTTCAAAACCTGCTTTTTCTATTGATATTGACAACACATTTTTAATAATTATAGAAATTTTATTACCTTCTACCATATTTATTGTGTTAAAATCACCTACACACGTTGCTTTCATAAATTTGCCTTTTTCAGCCAATTGGATTAATCTTGGTTCATTAAACATTTTTTTATTTAACAACATTTTTTCATCATTGATATAGTGATGTCGCACCAGAGTCTGCATACCATACCGTTTGACAAGAACTTGATAAATAATTTGACGTTGTGGTAAAAGCAACAGCTCCTTCAGTTCAGAGTATCCAGCATAATGAACTTTATTTTTGCCACAGTTTTTATTTTGAAAATACTGATTTGCTTTGTGTCCCAATTTTTTACAAATATGGCACTTTATTCCACAAACACTCTGAACATGTCCTAATGTTCCACATTTGTAGCATTTCTTTTGATCTTGACTGTGTTTCTGTGCACTAAATGATCATATATTATCTTTTGCATACTCATTTGTTGATTTATCTCCATTCTTATTCATGTTAAATTCCAGCAGTTTACTTTTCACAAATTCAACAGTTAAATCACTTTCTGCCAGAGTTCTTATTACAGTTACAACATTTTCATATTCCAGGGATATTGACAATGATAAAATGCATGAAATATCTGTCTCTTTAAAATCACTTCCTAAACTTCTTAATTCACGGAAAATTCGATCACATTTAGCAAAATATTCCTGCAAATCTGTACTGCACTGATATTTGAGATTAATTAATTCTTCCAATAAGTAAAATTTTGAGCATGTACCTTTTTTTACTAAATGTTACTTCCAATTTTACTATCATGTCTATTGCTTCTTCTGTGTCTTTTACATACATTAAATGGGTGTCCGCCACACTTTGTATGATCACCATACAGGCCTTATTATTTTTCTTATGCCAATCATCATTTCTTTTGCTTAATTCAACTGGTTTCAATATTTCATTTAATTCCATTGCCCCTAGTACAGCAGAAAGCCTAAACTTCCAATTATCAAAACCATTTCCACTAAATGGAATTATGCCGTGCTTGTTTTCAACTTGTCTCGCCATTTTCTTACAAAAATTATTACTCAGCCAAACGCCAAACCAAACTTAACTTTACACTGGAACTTTCACCTTAACACATATCCTTTCCTAGGCCCATAACCTATGTTAGGTCTTTACAAAAGCGATAAGAAGATTGTGTTTTCAATAACTGTTTTTATTTTTAAACAAAACATAAAACAAACTTTACATAGCATCCGCATTTTTTTACGTCAACTTGCAACCTCTAGTATTGCCAACTCAACATTTCATAGGTTTGGTCATTTGTACCTAATCTAATCCGAATATATTTTAACAACTACTGCAAAGAAAAGTTATACTTAAAGATAAATATTTTACTTATAATAAGTGTTTTATACTTTTTTCAAAGGATAAGAAATAACAAAAAACTTCCGTTCTTTGATATCAGCAAAAAATAATGAAAGTAAACTTTATTACATACATTGTGAATCTTAAATATGTATATACAGTAAAATCTTATTAAAAACCTAAGAGTGCCGCAGTACTGGAAAATTCGAATTAATGGAATATGTATAATGTACACAATATTAAATTAAAAAATGTTACTTTTAATTATCTTTCAACTAAACTATAATTGTATAAACTGTATTCTTCAAGGACAATAGACAAACGCGGAAAAAATAACGGTGAATTATAGAGATTCTACTGTATATATTTTAACTGTAAGAAAAAAATTACAATGTTCGGTGAAGCCATTTTTCAAAATTACAAATATTTATGGATATTAATTAGTTTTTTTTTTAATCCATTCACTGACATATACACTTCGAAGGTAATTATTTATTCATGCTCACCAATTTCCCATGTCACACACACGCACCCACACACACACCCACATATACATACATACACATATACACACGCACACACTTAAAATGCCGAAGAAAATGTATTATTTTCTTTATGATACACTATATTTTTGCACTTCAACATTATATGTAATTTAAAATAATTTTTATTTGGTTAAAAAGAAATACAGTCCACTAGCCAAAAGTTACTATTTATTACCCCTAAAAAACCTGATTGCCTTAAAGTTCGTTGTTTTGTAAATTACTACTATTAAATATTATTATTATTAAATTACTATTACTCGTAATTGCAATCAACTAACTAAACTAAACTAAAAAGTATTACCAATAAATCTGTGACTGTACAGGATAGTTATTTAAAAATTGCTTCCTTTCATCATTTATTATATTGGGAAATTTCAAATTCTCAAGGCGGTGCGGGAGGGAAGCCTATGCTTATACACGGTAGTTTCGTTGTAGTACCAACCTTACATAAACTAATTTGAGCGAACTAAATATAATATATACGAATGAAATTTCTACAACACATATTAGCTTGCATATATTTTTTGTGTTTAATGCACGGCAATTAACTATTTATTTGAATAAAAGTGTCTATTTATTCATTAAGAGCTTGTAAAATTATGGGTGAAATCTGGCAACATTGCCATGGCGTGGTGGTAAAAGTTGGGTCAACTGTCATTACCGTCAACTTTGCGCGTATTCCGTAAACGTGAATGAACATCCAAGGTACAAAGGAAAAGTAATGACTGAAAAGTAATATAAAATGCATATGAAACAGAATGTGGATTGATGAGAAAAAAGTAAAATGTGCAAACCGAGAATCCATATGATAACTATCAAGAAGTTCAGTGTATGATAGTGAGACTTCGCCTTGTCAAATTGAAGATTATGACAGAACATCTATACTGTCCGTTTTGCAAAGAGATCCTTTCAAATTTTGTTTCAAATTGCTATTAATAATAATAATAATAATAATAATAATAATAATAATAATA